AAGATTAATATAATATAGTTATAATTTTTTTAAAATTATATTATATCTTTATATTAAGATTTTGAATCAAGTACTAAAATGATATCAACTTGATACTGATTTATAATAAATTAATATATGAATTGTAATCTACTATATTAAATTCAAATAAATCTAGTATTGACTTGATATTAAAATAGTATTATTAAAAACTCTTGAATTTATATAAATAAAGAATTAAATTATTAAAATACTAGCTCATTAGTCCAGGATATGCTCTAGGATTAAGATAATAAAGTATTATATATATTAAAATATATTAAATATTATATATTAAAATGTAATAAATATAAATTTATTTTATTAAATTATAATAAATTGTATTAATTGTATTAAATTATATAAAATTATATAATAATATATAAATAATAACTTATTTCTTGGATTATATTTTAGGATTAAAAATATTGTTATATTTTATAATATAAATAAATTAAAGTATATTAAATTATAAATTTAAAAATAATATTATACTAATATATTGTAAAAAATATTTATTATATACAAATATTATAAATTAAATATTAACTTTTTTATAAAAACTATATAATCTAAATATTATAATCTATAAATTTTGTAATTAATAAAATTAAGTTAAATAAATTAAACTCTATATTTAAATTAATTTAAATTAAATCAAATTAAATTTAACTTTATATTTAAATAAAATTAAATAAATAAAATTAAATAAACTTTATAATTAAATTAACTAAATTAAACCTTATATTAAACTTTATATTTAAATAAAATTAAATTACATAAAACTAAAATAAACTCTATAATTAAATTAATCAAATTAAACTCTAAATTAAATTAAATTAAACATTATCTTTTAATTAAATTAAATTATAAATCCAAATCTGAAAGCAAAAAATCAAATCTATGAGAAAATAAATTCAAATTTGAAGACAAAAAATCAAACCTGGGAGAAAATAAATTCAAATCTCAAAAAAAAAATCCAAATCCAAAAAAAAAATAAAATTCAAAATATAAAACCAAAACCAAAAAAAAATAAACCAAAACTCAGAAAAAAAAACCAAAATCTTTCAAAAAAACCAAATCCCAAAAAACAAATTCAAAATCCAAAATAAGAAAAAACAAAAATTTAAAACAAAAAATCAAATCTGAAAAAATGAAACCAAAAACCAAAAAAAAAAATCTTCAAATCCCTTCAAAAAAACTTTTCAAAAAAAAAATCCAAACCCTTTCAAACAATTAAGATCTGAAAAAAAAAAAAAAAAAACCGAAAAAAAAAAAAAAAAAAAAAAAAATTAAAAAAAAATTAAAAAAAAAAAACAAATTAAAAAAAAAAAGAAATCCAAAAAAAACAATTAAATTAAAACTCAAATTAAACTTTCCAAAAAATTAAAAATCCAAAACTCAAAACTTATAAAAAAGTTTAGATTTAAATTTTTGTATATTTATTTTCATTATTTACATATTACCAATTAATTTCAATATATTAGACTTTATATTTTCAAATTTTTAAAGTTTTATCATTATACAGAATCATACTTTATTATTATAATAACCCTTGTGGGTTAATTTATATCTATACTATATAACTTGAATAGTAAATTTTTATACAAAAATATAATTATAATAATTATAATAAAATAATAAAGTTTTAATAAACAAAGATTTTTTAAAAAAATATTTATACAAATAAATAAAAATAAGTATAATATTATTTATATAAATAAATAAATTAAAAAAATATTTTCAGTATTATTTATTTATAATATTAATAAATGGGTTAACATTTAGTTTATTATATGCTTTACATTCAAGAGATATTATTTCCTTTTAAATATACAGTATATCTTGTAATATATGAATAAATAATTTAAATTAAAAAAATAATATTAATTATTTTGATAATTTTATAAAATATTATATTTTTAAATATTATCTTATTACTTTTATACTATGTTATTAATTAGTTCTTAATTAATATATATCATAGATTTTTAAGAATCAAGATTGTTTATAGTTATATATATGGCTTTATAAAATTATCAAAGCAAATAATAATAGTTTTTTTTACTTATTTATACAAACTACAAGAAATGAAAAAATAAAAGTAATATATGTTTTTCTAAATATTAATAGATTGTAAAATAATTCAAAAAATAATAATACAATTATTAATTTCATTTTTGTTTTTTAACTTTAATTAAATTACCAATAATATAATAGAAAATATAAAATGAATATGATTGTTTTTGCTGATCTTTTTATTTATTTAATTATATTATTATTTTTATCAATATATAAATAAAATATTTATCAAATAATATATATATATTGTAGAATTGAAAAACTACTTGAGGATTTATTAATTACAAGTAGTTATTACAATAATTGCAATATATATTTATATATAAGATAAAAGTTTATCTCTTTATAAAAAATCCAATAAAATTTATAAATCCATATTATTAATTGATATATTTTTTTCTTACAATAATAGATTGTTTTTTAATATTTATTTTATTGTCATTATAAATTAATAATAAATAAATAATATTATATATTTTAAATAATATTATAAGTTAGATGGAATTGATTTATTTTAAAATATGTGAATAATAATTAAAATATTTTAATATATAATATTTTTTATATAATATAAATTATAATAAATATATGATATTTTTAGATTGAAATTTTTTTTTAGATAAATAACAGATATGTATATTTCAACAAGACAATAATTTAAAATATATAATTTAAGTTAATTAAATATTAAAGTATTATATTTTTATTTTTATTTTTTTAGAGTTTACCAACCTTAATTTTTTTAAAATTCCAAATTATAAAAGTTTTAAACAAATAATAACCATATATATTTCAATAAGATAATAATTTAAAAATATGTAAATAATTTATTAAAGATAAAAAATATCATACTTTATTTAAATTATTATATTTATATTATGTGTTCAAAAATTAATAAAAATATAATTAAATTAAATAAATAAATATATTTCAACAAGACAATAATTTAAAATATATAAATAATTTATTAAATATTAAAAATATCATATTTTTATTTAAAATTTCAAATTAAGAAAAAAATGTAAACAAATAAAAAAATATAGATATTTCAACAAGACAATGATTTAAAATATATAAATAATTTATTAAATATCAAAAATATCAACTTTTGATAAATTGTATATTTATATTAATTATAGTTTGAAAAAATTTATATAAATAATAATGATTTATATTTCAACAAGACAATGATTTGAAATAACTAGATAAAATCAATAATTTATTTTATTAATAATATATTTTAATTCTGAGATAATTTATGATGTAAATTATTAAATTCAATATCTTAAAAGTATAATTATTATTAAATGATTATTATAAATTAAAAAATATAATAATTATAAAAGTAAAATTAATTACAATTATAGAAAAATGTAAATGATTAATATAAATTAGAAAATAATAATTATAGGAATAAAATAAGTTTTAAATTGATTGATTAATTGTAATTATAAAAAATATGTATAATGTTTATGTTGTATAAGAACTATTTTATCATTAAATATAATTATTAATATCAAGTTTTATTGATGTGCTTTTATTATCATTATTTTTTTGAGAAATAATCATATTTAATATATTGATATTTAATAATTATTATATTGTGTTGTATTGTTGATTTTTGATACTTTATTTTTAACAAAAAAAACGGATTAATAATAATAATAATAAATATATATAAATCCAACAAATTTTATTATTTACTTAATTAAAATGATATTTCATATTATATGAATATATTTAATAAGTAAGTCGCGTAGATTTTTTTTTAAAGTTTTTTATTAGATAATATTTATATACTGTATATATCACTTTTTTTTCTTTATTTTACAAATTTATTCTATATTTGTAAATTATTTTGTATAATACTAAATTTTCATATATGCGTATACATGTTTAATTGTATATATATATATATATTATAACGAATAAAAATCACGATAGACCGTTAAAAAAAAAAATCACGATAGATTTAAAAGGAATTGGTAACTATGATAATAATTATAATCTCGGTGTTTCTATTTCAAAGTCTCGGGAAATACGTGTATAATAAATTGTTTGTAATAAATTTTGGTTTGTTTTTTTTTTGATTCTTGAGAATTGACAGATTGGCTAAGGGGAATAGATTTTTTTCTCCCTTTTATTTAAATATTTCTTTGGTGACGCACGCGTCGCAATGATCAAATACATACGCAGTAATTCTGTAATTTGTCATCATACGTGCATAATATGATTATATTTTTAAAATGCATGCGAAAAATTTTTTTCACACATTATGTCACGACTCGAGAACTTTAGTCGATTATACGAAGGGCCATCGGTTAAAGTAGCAGTTGGAAATTTACAGTATTTGACAGATAATGGATTTTTTTTCACTTTCCGTAACGGTTTCTCCGACTCTAATTGATAAAAAAATTTGTTAATCTACAAACACTAAACATTCCAGTCATATTTCTACAGTTTAATAAGCCGCGTTTAAATTAAATTAAAATATTATCTATATGCTAACATGTTGTAGAAGTAAGAAAAAAGGTTTCGAGTTTAAATCCAAAATTCAAAGAAATAAAATTATCTTATCACGTGCACGTTTACCAGTCGCGTAAACGAACACGATCCTAGAGTATATTGTTAAATCTTTTTATCACAGTAGTTTTCTTAGACTAATATATAAATTTGGACTGGTAATATTTATTTGGTTTTATTTTTTATAATTAACTTGTCATGTAGAATCGATCGATCATTATGAACGTTAAAGCAAACGATATCTATCATGATTTAAAGCGTCTTCTTGTTTATCATCTAATTATCGAATCATCTGCCTATTGTTTTAAAAGTAAAAATGGTGATTTCATACTTCTTTTTATATATAGATATTTTTTGACGTTTCCACAATATTCAGCATGGATGTATTTAAATTTTTTCCAAAGATACTTTCTTTACCAAAGACTTTTAATCCTTTCGGAAGCTATCAAGTTACTGTCAATAAATCATGGGAAAAGCGAAAATATATTTATTCTTCCATTGGAAGTTCCTTCGAATCAAATATATCTTCTTACATATCCAATTATGACGATCTACTTTTAATTGATGATTTCTCTTCGTCGGCTATTTCGGTGGATTCATCTCGGCCCACATTTTCTAAACCGAGACGCCCATCCAGAAGAAATAATCACATTCATTCTTTGTGTGATTTATATTGTTATCAAACAGTATGGGAACTGATCACCTCCCCTCAATTAAAAAATCTTTCTGAAGCGGATCCTGAATACACCAAGATCAAAAACGATTTCATGAGTTATATGAGACACGTCAAAGTTATCTCGATAATTCGAATCCGATTATCTAAAGAACGCACAATGAGGTATTTAAATCTGAGAAAGGAGATGGCAAGAAGTTGCTTGAAAGAAGGAAAAATTGGGCGAACGAGATATGACAGCACATATTTTGGAGATATAACAAGGAGGGTTTATCATGGGACAAGGGCTACATGTGACCCTGATAGAGTTTTGCAGCGCGGATGTTGTAAAGATAAACGTTGCGGGATGTGTGGAATTATCCAGTACGGAATTAAATCCAAATTTTCAAAATTCGGTAGAAGTATGCATTCATGAATCTTTGTTTTGTATAACGAACCTCGTCTAATTTTTTTTTTTTTTTTTACATGAAATAAGCGTGTCATCTTTTATTGCATTTTTTATGTCAATATTCTAAGATCCTTTTTATTTCTAGAAATGTGGTTTTCAAAAAAACCTTCAATCGCTTCTATATTCTCCTTTAACAAAACTAACTCGCGAGAATACTTTAGTACGATGTTTATCGTCGACGTTTTGGAGATTAATAGCGATGATTCTGACGTGATGTTTGTAATTCAAGAAGATGCAAGTTTCATTGGATTTTGAAATTTTTGATAGTGATATTTTCCATTCTATTAATTTCATTCGCTTTGTTCACAGGCTACTCTACCTAGATTCTTAATACTTTACGAACATTAACGGGGAGCACTCCATGACCTACTCTTATTACGGTTTTTTCTTTATACTACAAAATTACGAAAATTACGAAAGTCGGTAATTTTTTATTTCTACATACTGCAATCCAACTTCAATGCATATTCAGAACATAATATTCACAATAAATGAATGTCTGACATTTCTCTGGAGTTTACCTCTTTTTTTTTTTTTGCATTAACGTTTTATTTAATATTTACCTAATAGTTTCATATGAAAAAATTTAACAATTTATTACTTTAATGTTTTTAAATGTTATATATACTGTATGCAAATTATTTGTGATATCGCTAAAAAATCTACATGGATACCTTGATTCATCAAAATTTGTATATGCAATCTATCTTAAACTTAAACCTAAGATACTGTATATTTTCTCTACCCAGTAGAAATGAAATATAGAATAATGATACTTTAAACAATAAATAAATAAATCATTTTTTATATAATAAATTTATTATTTTTTTTTTATAAACTAAAGATTTATATTAAATAACTGATTTGGTTATAATTAATCAAAATTGAGATTTTTAGTGGATTACATTTCTAAGAATGATGTCTTTTATCTGTAGTAAAATTTTAGATATACAGTACATCAATATACTGTATTATAATTTATTACAATCTTGTGCGCACTTTTTTTTATTTATGATTCAATATATAAAATTTGAATCGATAATTGTCTATATTCCAAATCGAAAATTTGTCTCTAAGCATGGCTCTTTCTTTTCCTTTGACCATTATCTAAAAAGATACTACCAATTTTCCAATTTGCTTTTCTTGTTCCATCTTTTTGAATTGCTCCATGATGCAGTTAAATGGTACAATCGAATCGATGATTGGCTCTAATTCATGCTTTTCAATAAAATCCATCATGGATCGAAACTCTGAGGGGCTCCCAAACAAGGTTCCCATGATTGTGAGTGATTTTAAATAGATAGACCGCCAATTGGGAATTCCTTTTGGTGGTCCGCGAGTCTTAAAAAAACAAAAAAAAGGATTTGATGAAAAAGTATAGTATATTTATAAATAAAGATGTCCTACCTCTCCAAAGAATACAAATCTTCCTGCAGGCTTTAACAATTCGAGCAACAGTGGAACTTGTTCACCACCGGCCGAATCCACAATCAAATCGAATACACCATCATGTGATTCGTCCTTTCTCATTTCTTTTATTTTCTCGATCCAATTAGGATCAGTATA